GGTGGACTGCCAGCTCGTAAGGCATAAAAATAAAAAAAATGTAGTAAAATGCTCACCTATAAATATATATAAAAAAACGTACCTATTACAAACTTTTAGCACAATCCAAAAGCAATGCTCAAAGCAGTCTAGCCGGATCTCTACACTTAGATATAATTTTCATGCAGTTTATCTATCAGATCTATCTGAACTGAGTAGCTTTAACATAATAAGGATTTATTTTTGTGAAACAAATAAAAAATATTTGAAAAAGGGAAAAAAGCTTGTCTATCTTCAATCCGTTGCCCTTAAAATTAGTTTTTCATATTCAGGATAGAATCAGAAATTCAGCATATATTAAAAGCTAACAATGTGAAGTCTTAAATATTATTAGATTATAACTTAAAAGCAATGTTGATATGTGTGACAACGTACTAAGTATTACTAAATGAAACAAAATTCAAATAATATATTTATTTCAAGTACTCAACGTATAGGTAGATTAGTTTTTGATTACGTGACCATGACTGTAAATGTAGGAAATTTGACTACAAAGCTTATATCATCATTTATTGATTATCATAATGATATGACATGATGTATCGATCGAGTCCGTTTTGTATTTAGAAACATAGAAAATATGCATTTAAATTATTTCGTAATGACAATTAATTTTTCTCGTTTATTCGTTTAATAATAATAATAACATCTTTTCGTAAGCTTCGTCAAGTCTTCTCGTCACCCATCCCTCAATGTCTCAAGTCGAAAGTCTTCGACCAGTGCGTCCTCCCAGTTATGACATACGGCGCCGAGACGTGGACACTCACGGCTGGACGAGTCCACCAGTTTAAAGTCGCTCAGAGAGCTATGGAAAGGGCTATGCTCGGAGTATCCCTGAAGGACCGCATCAGAAATGATGTAATCCGACAGAGAACCAAAGTCACCGACATAGCCCACCGAATTAGCAAACTGAAGTGGCAGTGGGCTGGTCACATTAGCCGCAGAACTGATGGACGTTGGAGTCGGAAAGTTCTTGAGTGGAGACCGCGACTCGGTAAACGTAGTGTAGGACGCCCTGAGACAAGATGGGATGATGATATTCGTAGGCTGGCTGGAGTGGGCTGGATGAGAGTAGCACAAAATCGGGAGCAGTGGCGTGCATTAGGGGAGACCTATGTCCAGCAGTGGACGAACATGGGTTGATGATGAATAACATCTTTTAACTAAAAGTAACCACGACTCATGTTTTTAAGTAAGAATTATTCTTTTCTATGTTAGTTTTTTTTTACTTCTACCTATTTCTAATTGAATATTTAACATACCTAGATACTGTGAGAAAATAGGTAACTTCCCATTTTCGGTCGTGACTGTATAAACACATCCTTGGGGTCAATCAATTTGGTATCGCATCTGAGTCGATAAAGGGGCAAGATAGTGTCTAACACTGTTTTTTCGGCCTCACCTCGGCGGAGGTCTGAAGGGAATCAATTATCTTAATTGGGCCTCGGCCTAATCTTAATAAGCAGGGCCTGATGGCCTCGCGTTGCCTCATATCTGTAACAAGATGATGCGTGTTAGATTAATTTGTTTATCTTTGTAACTAGAATTTACTTTTGTTTTTTTTGACGGTGTGTTTGGAAATCTGTTGTCAAGGAATGTGGGTGACAATTTTGAAAATCATTTTAATGATTGTGACTTTGATCATAAATTAGAATAGGGTACCTACTTATGATTTTAGTCCATTGAAGTTTAGCACTATTAAAAATATTATAAAAACTGGTAGATAGAATGACAGAAAATGAAATCAATTTTATCAATAATGTAATTTTTAATCAAAAACTTAGTAGAACCAGGAACAAATTTAGATTTTCTCTGATGTAGTATAAATTAACCGCGATAAGAGCAATTTTAAGAGGTGTAGGAACAGTAAATTGAAGTGAATATTTTGCAACTTACTTTATATGAATGAAAATGTATATGAGGCTTCTATAAATTGTGTTCAAATAACAGTGCAAGTTTGCTTTGAATAAAATCAACCAAAGTAGATACTGGAAGTCTGTAACCAACGTGCAGGATCTGTTGCAATATTTAAACACTGCCTTTGCACTTTAAATCATCATTACTTCAAACTACTTTTACTGCGTTGAATAAATGAAAGAACCTCCTTTAGAAATAGGACGGTTGAGTATTAAATAACTCCGTTGGTGTGAAGGCAGACAATATTATCATTTGTGGAGCGGCTGCAGAGCCCATCAGCGATGATTTATAACGTGGATATGCTACTGTGTGTTCATCACACGGTCGTGATTTAAGCCCTGATAGTATAAGTATTATCGTGCGCCCGCGCATCGATCACCGGTAGACACCACGGATCTATTGTGGACCTGTTTAACCAGCAAATAAAGTTATGCGGCCGGCGCTTGCAACTTTAATGAATTATCTGTAATGTAATCTTTCTCCGATGGTACCTACCTGGTTATTTCATATTTTCTTGATTTTGTATTATGATGTACACAGCTTATCCTTGCATTAATTGGACCTAATAATATTATTTTATGTCATTCAATGACTCATTTTTAATCTTTTTTTTTACTTTTATTTTTTACAATTGACATTTAATTTATCCATTTTTTATTTGTTTTCGTACAAGCGTGATGTGTTTTTATTTGATTTGACATTGACATTAGAATAGAATTTTGCCATTTTAATTAATACAATTTATTTATTTGACGTGTAATTTATTACGAAATAAATTATTATGATTATTCTAAGGCACTGGTTGGTGTCCAGTTTTTGGAGTGTTGAACGCTTTTTGTTCCACATTAACGCCTTCGGCTAAAGAGTGTTTTTTTCCGCCTTATTACAAAATTTGTTTAACGATACAAAGCAAAAGTGACACCTATGTTTGCCTAAAAGAAGACAGAGATAGCATTAGATTTAAATGAATGTCAAAATCTTATGAACCATATGTAGAAGATTCGTGGTAGAAAGTCAATGATTACAAGAAATGCTCAGTCTATTTTAGTTTTTACGATGTGAAATGTTTGTGTGTTACTATAGAGATATTGTTCAAAGATATTTTCGTAATTATTAACATTTTTTTTATTAATTCAGTGGTTATAAACCTACAGATAAAGTAAAACTTCATGCAGTGGTCATCTTCTAATTTCATTTTATTTGTAATAATTTGAATTGAACTTGACGTTGTAGTAGTTACCTTGTTCAGAACTTTTCATAGGATTTTCTTTCTCGTACTGTCTTGAGATTATTTAGGATTAACCTTTGCAGTTCTACTATACCCTCACAGCCCCTTAAGCTTCTCTCATTCCACGTGGGCTTGCGGTTAGCAATAGCAACATCTAATCACAACATACATATGTTATACGTCTTTATTAAAGTGAAACTTCCTTTTAGCAAAAATATATCGTAATTTGTCTACGTTTTTTGATGTAAGTATTATAATGAACCAGATCAGCCAACTGCGTTGATTCTAAGATCAACATGTCCCGAGCTTTTTGAGCTTCTATAAGTGAGAGCTTATCTCTCATACTTATTCCTTTAATACAAGGGATTTTCCCCTCGAATTGGAGCTCCTGTCTGAAGTAATCTCCATCTTACAGAAGACCACAGTAAAATAACACTAGCTTCTGGTGGTGTTGTGTTTCTGTCGGGGAGTAAGGTACCAGGGCTCCACGGACATATTTGGTATAAATAAATAAATTAACATTTCCAACACAAACACCAATTAGCCTAGCCTCAAAGTAAGCACTATAAGCCTTGTGGTATGGGATACTAGGGTAACGGATAAAATACATATTATACTGTACATACATAAGTATATTTATATAGAAATAAATATTAAACATCCATGACCGGAGTACAAATGCTAGTTATTCATCACACAAACATCTGCCCCCACCGGGATTTGAACCCGGGACCTCTCGAGTCCGCGACGCCATGAAACCCGGCGTACAAACCACTCGGCCACGGAGGTCGTCGCAAACCTCTATAGGCCGCTTACCTTCAGGCGGGCCATACGCTTGTTTGCCATCCTGTTAACATAAATAGAAGTCATTTAGTTTATACCTACGTACTGATGAGAATGCGGTAAATATGTTTGTTTTTGCTGCTTCAGTTGTGATTCGAGCAATGTACCTATTCGATGTTGCTCAAAAATTTTAATTATAAAATCTACTAATTAGAATACCAAATATTCAAAGCGTAGCTCTGGAAGTGATATTAATACTAACGCAATGTTTCATCATACGCGTTATTAGTGATCTTAGCCTTGCACCTAAGCTATTGGCAGGAAATTAAGTAGGTACTGATTATACAAAATTCAACCTTTAATCAATTTAAAGAAAGCTTGCTTGCAATTAATACATTAAGTGTGTGTAAAAACCCATGAAGGCTGCTAGCCTTTTTTCCGGTCGCAAAAACCCTTACTTGTTTTCCTTTTTTTACCAACTCTTATCTAACACAGCTTTTAAGTCATAACAGGCCAAAATCACTTCTTAACTGCAAAAAAGGATTCTGACATTTAGTCACATAACAAACGCACAATGAAATACATAACACTAACTTTTGGTGGTGTTGTGCTTCTGTCAATGATTATAATTCCAGGGCTGTAGGTCGTAGTTGATGGAGTCAATATATAGTAAACGTGCCGGTCAAGCACCTAAAAGCAATGCTTTGCCACACTTTTTGTATAAAAGAAACCTTTGATATTTTCCTAACCCCGCAAGGAATTATGACGCGAACTTTGATATGTGCGTGCAAGTATGTATGTTCTAAGATAAAAATAAATAAGACATAATGCGACTTACCAGTTAGTGATAATAATTTAATCCCCCAAAATCAAAACAGCGATAACGTCGTGGAGGTGTTAATCGTCGATTACTTCTTTGCCTTGTTGGAGATTATCGGCACATATCTACTGATATGACGTGAAAACGAACGTAATTTATGATTAAAAATGTGGTTTCTTTTTTTTATTGTTTATCGAAAAATCATTGTTTCAGTCGATCGTAAGATAGCCACATCGGTGGTTGTGAGATATCGTCAGATTGCATCGATCTAGTATCCTTTATCGGCTTCTAATAAGCATTAGGTGAGAATAATATCTATCGTGTTTACTAACGGGCTGAGATTTCAGTTCACATATAGATTGTTAACTTTTGTTTAATGTTAGATAAACATAGTAATAAAATAGTTATGTAATTTAGATTGTATCTGGAAGTAAATCTATATAATAAGTGAACGATAACTTTTTAATTTAACAGATATTCTATTAAGTTTTTTTTTGAATTTTATGACATTTTAAATCTATTTATGCTGATCCTAGATGCTTTTCAAAATAATATATTTATTGCATGTCACATTAACAATACAAACAGTAAAAATAGGTTAATTCACTATAAGACATTCTGCAAAGGCATAGATAAACTAGAATATATTAAATGCACTTGTATATTTTTGGCAATAATGTAAGTAGTTGCGTAACCAAGCGGAATGATGTTATATCCTATAAATAAAATAAACCATAATAATAAATGCGAAAATTACATATCGGTGAATATTGTTGAAACAAACACGCAATTAGTTTTAGTTAGCTTAAATTGCATAGTGCTTACACTGGTATTAAAAAAAGCTTCCCAAAAATTTAGTGGTTTTTTAATAAAATAAATCTTTATGATTTTTTTCAGTGTTAATCCTTATGAAAAGTCTTTCCGTGGGTTGATTGCGACTTGTACTACATACAGTCACCAGCTTTTCAATTCATTTTCCATATATTAGTATAGTAACATTGATTAACTGGTTATATTTTCCATGCTTTTCGATTAAATGCTTTTGTATATAATAATATATATTTTTCAGATTGTGAGAACAGTAAGAATACCCAAAAATATTACTTTCGCGTGTGATTATATTCCTAATACTGTACTCTACTTCAGTATTACGAATATAATCACACGCGATTCATCACTTTAGGAGATTTATAAAAATATATAAATAAGCATTCTTAAAATATATATATTAATTTATAGAGATTTTTTTTAATATAATTGGCATCTTAAAATACAAAACTCGGAATCATAAGGAGAAAATATTGGGTGCGTTTTACTTAAAGATTTCAGTAGGTATACATAGTTTTTACAAGTATAAGCGTTTAGTTATGATCTCCATTGATAACTTGTGGTAGTTTTTACGTAAAAGTGTTAAGAAATGGACCTAAATATCAAAGTATATAATATAGTTTAATCGACCAACATATATTTGATGTAGGGGTCCATTTTAAGTTTTTCAGAGAGCAGAATATCTATATTCTTTTGCTGCATAGATATCCTTTAAACTGATACCGCGGTACAAATTATTTTAAATTACCTGGCATATACTAAATATCAGTTGTTATACAATTGCGTGGCCTTCAATTAAAAAAATAAAGTATATTCGGCTAAATTAAGAAGGCGTAAGCTGTTATAGTAAAATCTACTCAACGCATGGAAATAATACTGCCTATTCGTGTTGCAGCTTTACTCGTCAAGCTTTAAGCGTCAAACGACATCTACTGAAATGTCTAGACGTATTAATGTATCTAAATTGCTATTTATTAGAGATGGCTTATCTCTGACATTCAAAAGTAATGTGACAAACGTTATCTGAACTTAGATCGTTTGCGACTACGGTTTTAATAAATTTGTAATTCTAATCATTCATATCTGTTCTGTTGATAAGTTTTATTCCTTTGAAACTGCAACCCATGAGCACCAAATTAATATAATTCAAGAGTAAATATTTTGACGGCTTCCTACATCAATCGTCTTGAGGAAATCATGTAAATAAACCTCAGAAACAAATTTAATAAATTTATTTATATATGTGTCAGGTCTGTGGTGTTAATCTATTTGCCACCGTAAATTTGTCAGCGTAGAGTCTTGTAGTATCGCTGTGCCTACGACAGATGTAGTGTACAGATATGTTCGGTCATTTTAGTAGCAATAAAAATCACGACTCGGTTGGCTAACATCGCTTAATGCGCGCTTATCGCTTATCGCAGCGGTATCGAGTGTTGTTCGCGCGATATCACCTAATCAAATTGGGAGCGTATCGATATCACCGACGTTTTTCGATAGCGATCCACTATTATCTTAATTGATTGTCTTTTTTCCAAACACCGTTCGAGTCCACATGCGCCTTTGATGTTGCGCTCTTTTTATCGCTGTTGTTAATTGAAGATTTCTGTTTCAGGCTCGCACATCATGTCAAGGTCGGTCGCCGGCCGATGTTAAGACTGTCAGGTAGCAGGAGGGACCGTTAGTGACTGACTGAAATGCGGATAGGAGTGACTTCGAGTGGGTGTATATAAAAGCGATGCATGGTGTGTGAGGTGGGGTCTGCGGTCATGGACATGAGCGGAGAGGGCGGCGGCGCGGGCGCGGGCGCGGCGGCCGGCGCGCTACAGCAGCGGTGGTACGAGAGCCGAGTCAACGGCAGCCCCGCCGCCGGCGACGTCAACGAGCCCAACGGGGACTTCTTCCACTCGCCGCTAGAGGGCGGGCACCATAGCCGCGCCCGGTACTACCACCAGCAGATGCACGCACCTTACTCGGCCGCGGTCAGCTCGCATGGTGAGTTCTACCCAAAGTTATCTTTTATCTTTGTTGAGAAAATGCCCATGACGCATATCGCCTCAGGGTGAGAGACGAGGTTATGTGGGACTCCTCCTCCCCCAAACCTCCAACACCCAATCAGCCAGCCCGTGTGCCTTGCTCATCGGCTGCCCGGAATAAGCGGACTATAAGATACCTACTTCTTTTGTCAACTAAAGTAATCCAATAGAATAGTATAGAAATCAAAAAAGCTGAGGTCAAATTCAAATTAATTATAATTTAGTTAGTTCAGGTCATTAAAAAGCACGTATGAATGTCTAAAAGCTATGTCATTGATCTGTTCGCAAATCTACGGTAGGAGACCTTGTATTGAGAAAAACACACAACTCAGTAAGTACTCCCAGTATTAAAATTTATTATGTACAGAGACGAAAAGTTGAAATGTTACTTTAATATGAGATGATTTCTAAAGTCTAGGTTTCCTGTTCTGTGAGTGATATGTAAACTGTAAAATAGTGGTGTTGCATCTTGTAAATGAGGTAGCTAGCCATTTAATGGGTGACCCATTCTGTTGACCGTGTTCGATCCACTTATACCGTCCACAGTATAAGTGGATAGAAACTCGAAACTCAATTGACAACTGAGTATTCCTACATGCATGTTTACTACATAATCAATATTCTTTACAAACATTTTTCTAACTTGGTTTAAAAAGTACAGAAAATTTTATAAAAGCAATTAGCTCATTGTATCTATGTGTTGACAATGTGATCTAATTAAATATTTAACTAAGTTATTATTAATCACCTAAGTAAAATATAGCAAAAAGGCTTGTCAAAAAGAGCTTTAAATAGACGAGTGAGCTTTTGAATTTAAGCAAATTGCTACCAGAGCCAGTAGCCGATCGACGTTATCGCACATCAGGCAATATCTCTCCCAAACTCCACAATTAATTCGACGGAGCCGGCCAGTCAAAATCGCCATTCTGTGAGGTGACAGCTTAGGTAAACACGATCTAAAATGGGCTTCGGCCGTAAAAAGAGAAAAAAATAATTCCATCTTTTTGTTTTTTCTTTTTGAGGTTTAAATTTTATTGAGGCAATAAAGTTTTTCTTGGAGACAGGTGGCTCTTCTTTATATTTTAACTACGCGGCTGGCTGCGCACAACCGCCCGTACGGAAAGAGGTGCTTAGGGGCTAGATTGGCATGCGGCTGCCGAGGGGACGATTAGAATTTATTTGAAGGTGCGTCGGTAGTGATGTGACACTTAAGAAACTGTGTCACTTCTCAGAATCGGAACTGGGAATTGATTTCGTCGCATTCACAGCAGTAACGTATGGTTGTTTATGTGCGGCCCGGGTCGGGACGATGTCCGAGCGTCGGCTGTTTCGGCCCGTAAACTCTGTTATCGTGTTGTTTCGACTCGACGCAGCTTCTTGTCGCCCCGATTATATCTGGATCTGTAACCCATACGAAGCGCGGCGGTACGGCTCGATTAGGTTACTTACACACGAAATTATGTGATACACTGATCCACGGTCGACGATAACTGTGTAAAAATATGAATTGCCTCCCCGATTCATTTACAACTTTGTTACTTAGCTCACTTCAATTTATGAAAACATAAACTTTTATTACTATCTATGTGGCTGAGTCGGCGGACGATGGTTCTTTGTCATACCTCGGGTTTTCTCAGTGGCGGAGATGCGAGCAGTTGTAAAAAGGACTTTTAAAAGTTGAGACTCGCACATAAAGTGGTAACGATGACAACTCGTATCGTTTTCACTCGAGTCGAGCGGTTTACGAGCCGACTGCGGTACGAGCAGCGACCACGTGTGTTATTATGGCTAGTTTATTTAATAAAACGCAAAAACGTGTTTCACATACAACACTGTTATTATACGATAATTGGTGTTTATTTTCCCCACGCATCGACAATAAAAAATAATGATCTCATTTCGAGTTCACTGAACGAGTTTAATAATTTTTTTTTTAATTCAATAAGTACTTATTTAAGCTGAATTTTCTTATAATTCAGAGCCAAGTCAAAATGTGGAGTCGAAGTTCTTGGTTTTAGTGGTCACTTTTTTATGTTTCCACGAAAGTTTTAAGGTAACTTAATTGTTTAAACTTTTTCTTAACAAGACAGGTTTCATAGAATGCAATGTAGGTGACAAAAAGTTTAAAAAATAAAAATTAAACGTTAATGGCGGTTAGGCTGTCCCATGTAATCCAATAGCAGGCGCGTTTGACGGCCCCAATAATTTATGAGGCCGTAATGCGATTGATGACGTACGCCCGAATATTTATTTCACTAAACGTGGACCCTAAACTTTGTTATTCTTTTTACGTCCAACTTCTGTAATGCTACACCTGGATATGTAACGCGCATATTAAAATTTTGTCAAGTATTCATGTGGGATTTACTCAAATCGGCTTTTTAGCAACAGCTAAAGTACCTACGTTGACTTTGTGGATACATGTTATTTGCAATAACTAATCTGTAAGTACTAATCTATACCAAAAATTAAAAAGGTATTGTTTTATTTACTTAGTAAAATCTAATATATAAAATTCTCGTGTCGCGGTGTTTGTGGTTAAACTCCTCCGAAACGGCTCGACCGATTTTCGTGAAATTTTATATGCATATTCAGTAGGTCTGAGAATCGGATGTAATCTATTTTTCATCCCCCTAAATGTTAAGGGTAATCCATCCCTATTTTTTTTTTATTTTAGATATATTTTTTTTTAATTTTTTTATGATACAGCATTAGGAAATACATATAACCCTGAATTTTCAACCCTTTAAAATCAACCCCTAATTTTTATGGCGGTACGAAGTTCGCTGGGACAGCTAGTAAAACTATATTTATAAAGCACTTTCAATGTCAAGAACCTTACAGCTACTCCTCTAAGTGATGATCTTTTTTTAGAAAGAAAATTAGTGATTTTATGGCACTTCACATTTGTTGGGCTGGATAACTAATAGTTTAATATCCTCAGTAATTTTATGTCAGTTAAGTTAGTTTTTCTAATGAATGTAAGTAAGTGGGCATAAACGGCCTTTCAATTCACGAAAGGAAGGCCGTCTTGTAGTCTCTTTAGCTAAAGTTGCAAGCCCACGCTCTGGCGCCCAGGTTTCCGAACAAAACAAACGCATTATTCAATCCGGGCGCCCTGTATCGTTGCTCATCGGCCATTTCACACCTATTGAGCAATGACAAACGTGAACCCAGGCGCAAACACACACGCCCACACCAACACCGACCGTATTACCTACAACTGAACGTTCGAAATCCAATGCAAGTGATCCGAGCAAAAAAGGTGTAATTGTTATGATACATTATTTTAAATTATTGGGTAGAGCGTACTTAAAGAATTTTACACGCTGATTGTACCACTGAGCTATGAACGGGTGATTGGAAGCCAAGCTTTTTTTTAATGCAGAACAAATATAATTATCATTGGTTTAGCAATGAATTAGTTCATTGCGTAATCTATTCTACTATACCTACGCCGTCGAGCTTTCCGCAAACAGACATCGATGCGAAAAGCTTTTGGTGTTATAATTGCGCAGACTTATTCCTGACGAATGCTCGCTTATTTTTTATTGTCTAGAACAAGTTTGTGCCAGTACATGTAGCCAATGAGAGTTTTTCAATTACCCACCGCTTTCTGCGGACTAAATAAATGAATGTGACTACGACCCTTCATCACAGAGACCACTTAATAAGCTGAGCTTTCATTTTGCTATTTTCTCTTTAAGTTTTCCTTTGTCTGGTTTGCGTGTGTTGGATAGATTCTTTGTATATTCTGTTGACGATCTCCGTGGCCGAGTGGTATGTACGCCGGGGTTGCCCGATGGGGCAAATGTTAGTAGTATCGATAGTGGGATAGCAAAATTGCTTTTATGCCACTTTGGTCGAAAATGAGTTATATATAAAAAGGGGCTGTAAAAATGAGTATCACACTTTTAAAATTGCAATAACCTTTTAAGTACACAAGATATACTTTCGAAATTAAAATGTCTCGAAAAATAGTTTAATTTTGTTCTAGAGTTTCAAAGAAAGCTGAAAAAGAATTACCATAAAATATTTTTTTTTATTTTAAATTAAAAAAGAATAAAGTTTAGAAATAAAATGTGATACTTAGTTTTGCAGCCCAGCGTATATGACTGTAATCAACTTTTTTTTGCGTCGATCTGTTTATATTTCCTAAAGATTTGAATAGTGTTTTTTTTTGCGTTTAAGCAATTCAAGTTTTAATGATTTATTATAGTTCAAAACACTGTAGCGTTGTAAATTTTGGTGATTTTTTCAACCACAGTCTCTTACACTCTATTATTTTAAGTCAAATCAGCTATAAGCGATGAACGTTAACAGAGAAAAATTTATTCAAAACATATAGGTACCTAAGTGTTTTTTGGATAAGGCATGTAAATAAGTGATTTTAAATTATTTCAAAATGAAGTCACTTGCGATAAAAGTCATTTTTATTGATTGCCAAAGAAATCAATTTGGCGCATAATTGAAAATGCTCGCAAATTATTTACGTATATCTGAATTATATGCAATGTGAGAATAGCTACTTGTTTTCTCGATTGTGTGTGATGTGTAATGAAAGCAATATCTGAGGAACTTTTTAAGTAGATTATTTATTCTATTCTGAGGAAGTTTTTAAGTAGATTGTAAATTTTATGTTCCAATATGCCATTAAAATGATAGCAAACCATTTCGCAAATTACTCTCACATAAAACCAGGTATGATTATTACATTTACTAGAGCAGCTCTTTGCTCTGCTTTTATATTTACTAGGCGGTTTAATTATTTTCGCCACACAATTACCGCTGCGCTGTATTATTTAATGACAATGAATATGAAATGCGTGCATTTGCCAAATGCATTGCGGCGTGTCGTGCGTACACGCAGCCGTGAGTCGAGCGTACGTATGCGTGTGCGTCTGTAAACGGGCTCAGATTGGCGCAATTAGTACGAAGGGGCGGGGCTTACGCTAGCGA